TTTTTCAAATCTGATCATTTAGCCTAAGATAAGTCTCATCTTGCTTTCTTGGAAACTTTTGATGGCTACTGATTTTATGAACGTGGCAGCCCCTTCGGTTGAGTTTGTTCGGTGTATAAAATTTTCTCTCCGGACTCATCCAGGGAAATATTGCTTTGGTATATCAAAGTTATTTTCAAAATTACAATTCACGAGTCTTTTCTTTGACTACAACAAAATCAAAAGAATACTTGCCCACAAGCTAACCGACTTCAATATATGAACATCTTTCATTTGTAGTAAACTTACAAAAATCGCAATTCGTGGGCATAGTTAAAAGTCGTGCTGGTAACGTTTTGTATCCTATTGCCGAAGATATTGCTGAAACGAAGAACGTAACCATTTACAATTACGTCCTAAACGGGGACATGCAGTTGTCATATTCCTTATCCTATAGATTTACATGGGCTTTTCGTTTAAACTACACAGATCTCCAAAATACTTCTTTTTGTTTCTATAATATCCACCTTTGGTTATGTGAAAGGGCACATTTTTAGTGCAACATGAATTTTCGAACATCATTGCTTCGTTGAGCGAGGTAACTTGCATCATGTCTGTCCTACATCATGTTAAATGTTTGGACTAAAATGTCAGATTTTGAACGCTTAGATCAATTTCATTCCATCACATCAAATATTGCATAATTTTTTTGTATGGTTTTAACTGCACTCACAGAGCTTTGAGGTTTTTGAGGCCCTTGAAAATTTTGTCAGGCAGAGCCTCGATTTTGTTCTCTGAGAGATATCTTGAACAGGTGAAATGGATAATGAAATAAATATTAAAATACAGTTAGTAACATAACATGATTGGGTAAGGCAACTTTTATTTTAGCGATACGGAGCTAACATAAAAATAATATTACTGTGTACGGTGTGCGATTCAGATCATCATGGAAAAAGTTTTCAGCTCCAAATGTACTCACAAATCGAACAGCTCCACCAAGCCCTGGAACTGATCTTCATGAAGCTTCTCAATTTTGTTGTAGTCCATTTTCCTGAAGAGAGCATCATGGGCAGCTCAGACTGAAATAAGCTCATGAGGGAGTGATATTTTTAAATCTGCTTTTTTAAGGTAACTTCTGTAGTTAAGGCAGGAAATGGCGATGTTTTCATTAAAATTACTCCCAATTTTTATATCTTAATCTTCAAAGAACACATAAGACATATCTATAACGATCTCAAGATCCCAAGGGCCTCGAACGAGGACTGTTGTTTAAAGCTGAATTTGAAAAAAATCATTATTGGTTTACTTCCTATTACAAATTACAACATTAGTGCTGGGGTAGTTTGATCTTGCAATACGACAAATGCTTAGATATCGACAACTCGGATAACAAGGAAACAATAAAACGTTTGCCCCCCAGAAGTAAATTATAATGTAAGTTTTCATTAACTAGGACGCTCTTTTAGTCACCAAGTCCTGTTATATGCAAGAAAATCCTTTAAGATTAACTTATAATCTTTTGTGCCGATATCAATCTTACTTACAGAAATTCTACCGCTGTAATGTTCCTGAAAATGTACGGCGGCAGATTTCCAAGTTCATTGTTTGATAAATCCCTGAAAATAATCGTCACCACAGCTTCAAAGATTTTGCCCATGATAGAACTACCAAACTCTCAGAAAATGTCGGGTACTTTACTGTGCGGTTGCTTTCCCTTTATGCTTTCAGTTTATATATTTATACATATTCCCAGGAAAAAAGGATAATGTTTTAAATTCCAGCTCAAGAAGATCCTAGCACATTAGGCTTGCTAAGAACACTAGGATAAAAATATATGTTTACTTTTTTTCGGGAAAACATGAAATGAAACAAGCTCCTTTTATAGAAAATCGAAAAACAGGTCCATCAAGGAAATATCCATCCCCGGCTTTTTTGGGGAGAAAAACTAAAACTGCAATAAAACAAAAAACAGAAAACAAAGAAGCCAAAAAAAAAAAAAAAAAAACTGGTACAAAAACAAAACAAAACAAATTGCAACCCTACCTGCAGCAGAAAGATAAAATCCAAATGCAAAACAGTTTTTCCATTGCAACTATTATTATTGTTTTTATTATTATTATCATTAGCATCATCATTATTACTATTATCATCATTGCTATTATTATCATCATCAGCCGTTCGTCAATAGTTTATCATATTTTGAAAGCAAGTGCTTTATCCTGCGAAAAACAAATCTGGGAGTTGTTAAGGTTCCTATTTAAACAAAAGCTTTTAAACTTTTACACCTTCAAATACCTTAACTTTACTAACCAAAGCACAACAACTACATAAAATAGCATCCTCTACTTCCACTAATCAGATTTACAAATACAAGGTGGAAAACGTCATGATGATTATGATCATTAATTTTAGTTCTTCACAATTATCTCCTAGGTTAAATAACTATTTCCCTTACAGATGAGTCAGATTGGAAAGATTGTTAAAAAGTCCGTCTGGTAGACTCTTCAACTTGTTATTTGACAGACGGCTGATAGGAATGACGAGACAAAAGAAAATGCGTATTTATAAAGTCTGCCATCTGAAATTTCTTAGTAAAAATACATAAAGATAGAGAAAGATGTTTTTCGTCTTGTCACGAGCATGGAATAAAGAAAAAAAAGGACGGGACGGACGCGTGTCATATGAGCTTCGTAATAGACCACGCTCACCGTAGAGTCTTTGTGGCTCAGTGGCGCAGCATCGGAGCGCGGAATCCGAAGGTCTGAGGTTCGATTCCTCATGGGAACTCAGAAGTTTTTCTTTGTCCTTCGCTTGTGACGAGACGAAAAACACCTTTCTCTATTTCTTTACTGAGATCAAACTTACCATCTCTCTTATTCTATTTACCATACAAAAAGATGCCGATCATCAGAACCAACCAAAGAGCAGTACGTAGTCATATACATGCAATGTTTTGTTTTATGGTACAGAGAATATTCAAG